GGGCTGGGGAGTCTGCGCTCCATGCACCCCGCCGCATGCGCTGCCGCTCGCCTTGACCTGCTCTAGAGAAAGAGAGAGCCAGGGATGACAAACACGGGGACGAGCCAGCGGGTGGCAGCTGGCGGGGCGCCGTGCTGTTTTGTCAGCAAAGCCGTCCTTCCCTCCTCCCGCTGCCCGCGCCTGGCGGAGGCGGGCAGGCTGGTGTGAGCCAGCCTGTGGCCGGGCAAGGATGCTCCCCAAGGAGCAACGGGCTGGTACCCAAGCGCCAAGGGTGGGGGGGCTCACTTTGCTTGGCCAAAGACCACCACACCCATCCCAATTAGCGGTGTAGGGGCCAAACTGCAGGAGGACACAGGTCCTAAGATCAGGCCCACTCGTAGGGAAGCAGGGGAGCTGGAGACAGGTCATTTGGGGGGATTTTGCTAGAGTTCCCTCACTTTGTCAGGGAAGGATAAAGGTTGAGTAGCACCTTCTGACCCTGTTGTCTTCCTGTCTCTCTCTTTCTCTCCACCAGGTTGTTGCTGAGACCCTGGTGAGTGCCTGCCCTTTCGCTCCTCAGCCTTTTGCATGTTTGAGGGGATGCTGCGGTCCTCGGGTGCAGGGCTGGGGCTGGGAATAGCAGCCCCATGTGCCGGGCTCCTCTGACCACACAGGCTGTGCTCGCTTGCTTGGGGCTCCAGGGTCCTTGCATCAGGATGGGTGGCAAGGGGACAGATGTGGCCTGCACGAGGGCACTTCCCTGCAGTGCTGGGCAGGAGAGACAGAAAGCCACCTTCCTGCCCTTGGGAGGGCTGGGGACCAATCCTGCCTGCTGCCTGCATGCAGGACCCATGTTCCTGGCAGCGTGGGACTCGGGGCTGGCTTCCCTGGCTCACTGAAAGTGGGAATTGGGGAAGGGGGTGACTTTCTACTGCAATAGCTTAATGGGTGTGATGAGTGCAGTCTCCCTGCTGAGCCCTGCAGCAGGGGTGGCAGCCATTTCACCCATGGGCAGCACTGCTGTGGCCCAGGGTGGAGGTTGGCTCCTGTGTCTGGCAGCTCTGAATTTCCTGTTCAATACTGGTCACCACCAAAACACCCTCCCCAAAAGACAAAAAGAAGTCTTAATCACGAGCATTGCACAACTTTTTTCATAAAAACTGCAAAACATCTTTTCTCAGAGGTAGTGTGTCAGTGTGCAGCTGTGCACTTTCATATCCATGCATAGAAAATGCCTTTTTTGGCCAAAAAAGAGAGGTCACCCTCTTTGCAAGAGGGTGTTCAGGACTGGCTGTCCCAGGAAGAGCTGTTTGACATCTTTGCCCCTCTCTGCTATGCTAGTCCCCCTGTCCCCCTCTTCACTCTCGGTTGCTCTCCCAGAAACTTGCTGATGTCTCCAGCAACGACTCCAGTGACTCCCTGGAGACCCGCTTCCTCAGCATCCTCTGCACCCGCAGCTACCATCACCTCCGCAGAGGTAGGACCACATTTCTCCATTGCTGCTGGACCCCCAGCTGTGACACAAGTGCTTTGATTTGGGCTGGATGGGACTCCTGGGCAGCAGGAGGTTGGGGTGGCCCTGTCTTCCCAGTGGTGGGAGGAGATGGCATTTGGGGTGGCTGGTTGAGGTCACCCAAGCCTGCTTTGGTCCCATCTGGTCCAGAAGTCTCCATGGTTGAGCCTTGGGTCTCCTGGGTGCCTGGGGCTGGGATGGAGCAGCTCAGCGGTGACCCTCTCCCCCATCCCCAGTGTTTCAGGAGTTCATCAAAATGACCAACCATGACGTGGAGCACGCCATCAGGAAGCGGATGTCGGGAGATGTGAGGGACGCCTTCTTGGCCATCGGTCAGTGCCCGGCGGGTGCTCCCTTGGGGCAGGGCTCCCTGGAGGGCAAGCAGCCCCTTCGCC